GGGCGTAGCGCCGGCTCTTACGCTCCTCTTCTCTTTGCTAGGCCGGTGGTAAAGCTGGGAAGGACTCTGGGAAGACCAAGACCAAAGCGGTGTCCCGTTCTCAGCGGGCTGGATTGCAGGTGAGCAGGGACTGGGGCACGGGTGAATGGAAGTCAGGTCGGCCTTCCGTCTCCTGGTTGGTTTTACCCTGTGAGACCTGCGTAGTCCGTCGTCTGTCTCTTGTCTAGAATGGGGTAAGGATCTGTTTGATCCTTGAGCGTGTTAATGTCTGGCTTGGCTGTTTTTAGCCCTTTTGCGTATATGTGCGGGAGGGAAGAGAATTCCCTTGCGGTTGTTGCTACTGCTTGTGGTTAGAATTGCGACGTGGCTGATGTGAACTTGGCATACAGCGTCCTTAGCTGGGTTCTCAAGTGTTGAAATGTAGTCCGTGCTTCTGCCACTGGGATTCTGTTGCCCAGCATGTGGTTTAGAATAGTGGCTTTCTTTTTCTGTCTCTGTCATCACAGCCTACTCATACGTCTGTTATTTTCCAGTTCCCTGTTGGCCGCATCCACAGGCACCTGAAGTCTAGGACTACCAGCCATGGGCGTGTAGGAGCCACAGCTGCTGTCTATAGTGCTGCAATCCTGGAGTACTTGACAGCTGAGGTAAAGCTCCTGCAAGGGGTGCAAGCAAATTGATCAGCTCCAAAATGGCTTAATGACCAGAGCCTACTGTATTTTGCTGATTTGGACTGGGCTGTGAACTCTTCACTTGCTTTGAGCCAGTTTTAAGTGCATGCATCATCAGGAGACCATGAAAAATGCATGGAACCTTTTGCTCTGCATTTTGTGCAGATCTAATCACTGTGACTTATAGGAAAGAGGGAAGTGTGAAGTATTTTGTAAAACGTGCCAATTACAGCATGTCGTATCTGCTGTAAAACACTTACTCTCTTCCTGGGGAAAACTAAATGCAGAGCTCCCAAAGTGGAACCCTTTCAGAAGAGGCATCGTTTGCTGTCTTGGTGTCACTAATAGTCTATTTGGCATAGAGAATAAAACAGCTAAGGCTGCGCAGTTGATCTCACTTGATTTGTGTAACTCAGTTTAAAAATGGCCTTGTCCTCAGGTTCTTGAGCTGGCAGGAAATGCATCCAAAGACTTGAAGGTGAAACGTATCACTCCCCGTCACTTGCAGCTTGCAATTAGAGGAGATGAAGAATTGGATTCTCTCATTAAGGCAACAATTGCTGGTGGTGGTATGTAAACTGCTTGCTAACTGCTTGTGATGAGTTGGGTGGCAAGAACTCTTAATAGACTACGGTTGCTTAATGCTGTCATTTTATTTGAAGTGCAAAGCTTGGGAAAATCGCTGAAGGGAAATAACATGGTCTTAATTGTTGTTCTTCCTTAGGTGTAATACCGCATATCCACAAGTCTCTCATTGGAAAGAAAGGACAACAGAAAACTGTCTAAAGGATACCAGGATTCCTTGTTATCTCAGGACTCTAAGTACTTAATTGTCCAGTGTTGGTGATTCCAGTGGACTGTATCTGTGAAACACGATTTTGCCTTTTTGTAACTTTGAGAAGCTAAAGCTCCCTTGAGCTTTCTAACAAACCAAATTTCTGCATTGAAGTCTTAACCGTATTTAAGTGTTACCATGGCTTCAAAGAAGCTATTGTATTTGTAGTGGGTTTTGATTGAGCTGACTGTTTTTAGATTGGTTTGATTAAGTAAAGGAAATGTTTGGTTTTGTACAGACTTTTCATCCACTAGAGTGGAAATATTCAATAAATGTTATGTCAAGACTGATTGTCTCTTGTCCACTAACTGAAAAATACTGGGTCTCGACTACGCCGCTCTCAGAATTGTTCCAAGAACGCGCAACTCGGGAGTCTTACCAGCTGTGCCTAGAGTACACATGCCTAGAGTACTGCACTTGGCAAATACCATCGAGTGAAATGGCACGTGGGTTTTATCCTGCAAAGTTACGTTCTTGCTAACTGAGCCTGCTGTCCAGTGTGACAGTTGCCTTGAGCAGAGCAGATGCAAGGCTGGTGCTGTTTAAGGCCGGTTTTACCTGATGCCAGCATTCATAGAGGGAAGGGATCTGTCATGGAGGAGGAAGGTAAGCTGAATGGATGTAGAAAATTCACAACTTCAGTTGTTTTTCTTTATGGTAGAGCCTGACCCCGCTCGCTTTTTCTTCTTGAAAAAGACCATGGAGACATCCATAAAAGCAGGGGCCGTACTGCAGAGGCCTGTACTGGCTCACAGAGTGTGAACTTTGAGGAAGAATCTAAAACCTGCTTCCAAGGTAGCAGTCAAATAGCTCTGTCCTGGTGTGGCTTTTGCACAGGTGGGCTTTACCTCTGCTGGCTGCAGGGATCTGAACTGGAAAGCACTTGCTTTTCCCTTAGTCTGAAGCCCTATAGTGGTGAGGGTCCAAGCCACACAGCTGAGTTTTAAGGACGGTTTTAACTTCTGCCACACAGTAGCATCCTCAGTAGCAGCAGAATAAAGGGGGTTCTAGTCACATCTCCTTCAGCGTTCCTTTCCAGCTTTCTGCAAGTTTGTTTTTTTATGGATGCTGTGGTAAGGGGAAACCTCATCCTTTTGGTGAGGCAAAAGGTGCTGTCAAGACTGGTTCCTGTGGCTGGGGGCAGCAAGCTCTGTGCCTTCCAGAACTGCTCTTCCAGTAGTGAAATATTTCAAATAAAGATGCTTTTGCATCGAACAGGCTATTCTCTTTTGGTAACCGCTTTCAGGTAGTAATCTCTGCTGCAGCTGGAAGGTGCTGACCTAGATTTTAGATCTCGGTTAGACCAATATTAACTGCACTTGCTGGAGCAGCACCTGTGTGCTTTCTTCCCAGCAAAGCAGTGCTTGGCAGGATGTAATTGATGTTGCTAATTATAGTGAGTGTTTGTAAGTACCTTAAAGCATAGTTCACGTACTATAAGGAATGACAAGGCGCGGGCTCC